CCTTCGGAGGGTGGGGGGGGGGCGCTTCCGAGACCTTACTGTTGCTGAGCAAACATGGCTATGGGTCAAAAATAGGGCAGCCCCAATAACATGGCTGTGGTTGTCAAAAATATGGCAACCCCTAACATGGGTTGCCCTGTTGGTAACATGGGAAAAAAACCTGCGGTCTGTTTCTGGGGGTGCAATTTGACCCATAATTATCTGTATTCTTTGCGTGAGCTCTGCTTTTTTTAGGAGACCCCCAAAATGGCGGTTGGTGTTTTTCCGTCAAGGGGACCCCCATTTGCCGAACATATTGCTTTTGTCTGGGGTAGACTTAGGGTACATTTTACATTTTACCAGTGACTAGTGACTAGTGACTAGTGACTCCATGTGAAGCAAACAATAAAATATACATTCTATAACTGAGCCCGACTCTAATCATGGTGTGAGTGTTTGTTTAGGAGACCCCCAAAATGGCGGTTGGTGTTTTTCAAGGGGACCCCATTTGCTGAACAGAGTATTGAGTGCCTGGATCGCCAAGTTGCCGCTTTTTTCTAGACGCACCCAAAAAGCGGTCACAGTAGCTGGGAAAAAGCAGCCACTGGCGATCCAGGTGTGTGTGTGTGTGTTTTCTCAAAAGGGGGACTCCCCAAAATGTTGGTTGTCCTTTTGGTTTCCCTTTAAAAAACCACCAAAACAGGGATACTCGAGAAAAACACGCACATCTGTGTTAGTTTTTCCTGTTGGTTTAAAAGGGACTCTGTTACTACTGACATATTTTTTGTTTTTCGCATTTCTTGCCACGGGACTGAAGCAATTGGAAGAAGCCCCTGCCTATGTCAGCTGCCCAAAAGCCTGAAACCATCTTTTGGTTTCCTATGGTCCACGTTCGCCTATTCTATTTCCGTGTGCTTCGGGAGCTGAGCTTGTGGAAGCTGTGGATCCAAGACTGCCACCATTGGTCACCTGCTTATGGGCAGAATCCATTTTGCGCCACTGGTCAGACCTGGGCTAGACTTAGGATACATTTTACATTTTACCAGTGACTCAAAGGGAAGCAACCAATAGAATATGCATTCTATAACTGGGCCTAAGTCTACTCATGAGACAGCCTGGAATCAAACGATGGTTTCAACCAGCAAATGGATTTCCCAAACCATTCACTGGGGATTGGAATCACGAGAAATTGCCAATTGGAATTTGAAGTACCCTCACAAGGGCTTCTGTTGGCCGTGTTGGTTCACTGGCTGCAGAGCGCCCTTCGTCTATTTAGCGTCTACAGGAGCGGAAAGTATCGTTACACATTCTTGCCTGGGACGGGCTCGCCACCACGGTTGGCAAACTCCCCCTCCCACATTTTCCACCGCCCACCCCGGGACCCCGCGGGTATGATGAACACTTGGGGTCAAGTTTGCAACCTCCTTCATTTAGGATATTGGGGTTCCAGGCTGCAACATACGGCACCCCGCCCTTGGTTTCCTCCACGTACAACCGTGGCGGGAGGGTTTTCGCCGGGGACTCGTTGGAAGCGAATCGAGGCTTGACGCTGGTCACGGGCAAGGGCAGCCACTCCCCAGGCCTGCGGGGTTTAGGGTTTTGGGAGGAGTCGGTGTGAAGACATCCATTTTGTTCATAACTTTGACCCCATATCAATCAACCCCAGCTTATTTCTAGGGGGTGCGGGCCCCTCTAAAAGTGATGCTTCCCCACGGGACACCCACCTAGTAATAAACAGGGTTGGTTGATGTGGGGTCGGGTTTGATCAGAACGTTTGATGAGCATGTGATGACTGTTGGTTGAACAACCACGGAAAGAAACATGATACGTCCCTCCTGATAAAAGTTACCCATGGTCATTTGGGCGCCAGGAATAATTGTGGATCAACACCCTTCAAATTGTGACTTCGAAAGGGAAACCACAGCAGTAGTAATTTCGAGGACTCAACATGTTCACTTTAACGGTGCCAGTCTGAGGGGTGGACCTCCCAGTGTTCCAAAACCACTCCTGGTCAGCATCTATAGTATGATAGGGCGGCCCAGGACCCCTTTGACATGCGTGGGTCAGTCGAGCCCCATTGGGAAAGAGCCGTTCGTGTGGGTGGATATCAGGCCAGGGGTATTGGCAAGGATGTTCTTGGACTCGAAGCATCGGACTTCCCCTGGATGGCTTGAAACCTTTACTTCAGGCGGTAGCAGGGTTGGTTACAAGCTCTGTTCAAACCACACCTTTCGGCCCCCAGAAAGGCACGCCAAATGGAGAGGTTTGTAGACAATGCTGGTTCAAGTATGTTTAAGCAAGTAGTTGACCCATGTTAAACCTCCGGGGTTGTAATTAATTCACCTCTGCTATATTTTCTGAAAGCATTACTTTCCTCTCAAGTACCCTGAAGGTAAGTTGCGGGGCGGGTCATTCTCGCTCGCGTGGGAGGCGGCGAGGGTTTGCTGCAGCCAGCGGTGCAGCAGTTTCTCAGAGAGATGAGCATCGAGACCTTGAAACTACCCAACCCAGGCGCGCCGCTCGGCTGCTCGGGCGAAAACTCGCGAAAGTTCGCAGAACAAGAACAAAGACGCTGCTCGGGGACTCACGCAATTGCCCTTCAGTCTTATTGGTTCCGTCCTCCATCCGGTGCAACGGTAGTTTCCAAAAAAAAGTCGCCCGCTAAGAGTTAGATCCACTTTTAGCAGGGCGATCTGAGGAACCACAAAAACTGAGGGGCTCGGGGCCCGGGGACTCACAGATTTGCCCCAGGTGTTCAAAGTCTTGTTGCCTTGAAAGAAAAATCGGCTTCTGCGATTCAAAAAGGTGGAGCTCGAGTCCATGCGAATCCAAAAAGGGCAACCAGCCAAGTGCAGAAGGCGCTTTTCGAGTGCTTGGAGCGTTTTACCGGGTTGAACTAAGTTGCTGGGCTTCTCAAAAGTGGGCCCAGGAACACGTCAAGTGATCTCGAAGCCCGAGAACCTCCCTAACTTCCCTATAGGCCCAAGAGCCCATTCCACGTTTCGGGGGGTTTCAAAATATGAATTGGCACTTAAAATTGTGGATGCGCCGTTGAGTAGAAAGAGGTCGCACGAGGTTGCTCAATAAAAAATTGGCAGTCAAAATAGGAGAACCCCTTTAAACTGGCGGTGTCCCTTTTGGGTCCCTGTTTTTCGCACGCCCTGAAAGCGAACCCTCAAAGAAATGCGCATATGTGCTCTTGGAGCAAACAGCAGGCCCCTGTCAGCCTGTGCCCCCCCAAAATCCCCGAAGGCTTCCCCTTTTCGGGCTCCGACGTGCTTAAAAACTAGCGACGACGGCCGTTTGCACAAAAGGGATGCCCCAAAAGGGGATGCTGATTTTATAGATATATTTGTCCAGAACCCTTTTTTCCACCCTGTTGATTCCACCCTCTAAAAACATTGACCCCCCTTGTTCCACCCTTTCGATTCCACCCCAAATCGGCCCTCCTGACACATCCCCGTCAGCCAGCCAATTCGCAGGCCGCCTGGCGATCCCCCGGCGCGAGCTGGAGGCCTTCCTCTCGAAAAAGAGTCGCGAGGCGCGTCGCAGCGAGCGGCGCGAGTGACGAGCGGCGCGAGCGGCGCGAGTGGCGCGGCGCGAGTCGCGCGTCGCAACCTCGTGGCTTGGAAGGGAGCCGTTAGGGAGCTAGGAGTAAAATGTTGCCTTTAAAGAAAAAAAGCTTTCGAGCAATGAGCCGGACGAGCTGGGAGTATCCAAAATGTTGCCTTTGAAGAGGGAGCAGAGCTGGGAGGAGCCATTTTGTTTCAAAGAGGGAGCCTTTCGGAGCTAACAACGGTTAAACTCATGTCCTGTCCCAAGTGAGTTGACTAAAACAAAATGAGAATCAATGTCATATTAAACATGGTATAAATAAACTATGGCCCATAGAAGCGGATATTCACTGTCATCTACTCTCAAGGGGACGACGGAAAAACATGTTCTTCATGCTTGGGCATCCGAATCTGTCCAGAGCGCACGAAAGCACCCAAGGACCAGCTTTTGAAAGGAACCATTGTATGTCAAAGCAGAACATCATGCATCAACTGGGCCCCAGAGCATCACAACCAAGGTTGGACCGACCTCTGATTAAAAACACATGTTTAAACCACTGGGTTGAATTGGACAGTCGGGCTTTAAGCGTTACTCTCATTGAGCTTTGGGCTCAAGCGTGGACTTGCCCGCAAGTAGAATGATTGCCCATGCGTTGGTTCAAGCTCCCCCTCAAACCAAAAAAAGAAGTTCAATTCTCATGTACCGTTTTCGCTTAACTGAATTTGGGTAGGGAGGCCATCTAACCCATTCTCTACATGGAATGCTAATATGTTGTTTCCCCACGACGCCGACCGTTTTGCAGAAACCTTTTTCTTCGGGGAAAACGCTGCAGAGGGGACTTCCGAGCTTGCGGGTCGGCTCCGAGCCGGATCATGGGCGATCAAAGTGAAGCAAGCCGGCTTGATGCCCTAGAATCCCGGAAGCTCTTTTGGGGGGATGCCTTTTTGTTCCAAGGCGGCTGTGTGGGATTTGACCAGCCAATTTATCTACAGCTTTAGGGAAATGCGGGTGGCCGGCAATGGAATCGAACCCCTTATCTGGTTTGAAGGAGCAGCACAACTTTGCAACTGTTTGACACCTTGAACAACAGAACGGATTTCCATTTCAGGATATCCTTCACTCGGGTGACAAAGGAATAGCAAAGCACACAGTTCTCAAACCTTCGCCATGACGCAGCCTGGCTGCAGCGGACAGGCGCGACAGACTCACAAAGCGCAAGCCAAGACTTGCTTCCGGACACTCAGCGGCATGCTCTAAGTTTTTCCTGCTTGATGGGGTCTCACTAATGGGCAACGCGGACACCCCGGAAAAGTTACCCTATCTAAAGTAGCTTCCAAAGTCTTGTTTGAAATGCAAGCTTTCTTTGTTGTAGAGGGACGTTTAGGGACACGTCTGCTGGAAAGGGGGCCTAAACGAGTTGTCAAAGTTGATCATGTAGCCATGGATTTGAACCTTGGCAAGACCGCTCGCAAGGGCTGAAGATGGGGGGCTTGACAACTTCATTGCTCACCCCTTGGCCACAAAGCTACGTGGCCCCTTCTGTAAGGTCTCGCTCCAAGGCGTGCCCCGATTTCAATCTTATCGGGTCACTGGTTGAGACCCAGGTATCAGCTGCGGGATTGCGACTAATCCTTGGGCTATGAATCAAGGCGCGAAAATCCGTTGTGGATTTCCACAAGGCGTCCTGGCTAAGGACTAGACGCACAAATCGCACTTGTGTTTGGTAAGGATTAAGCATGAAGGACAAGCAAGGAAGGCCACAGTCTGAGCGAATGATCCATTGCCTCCCAAACATGGAAGTGCCGCCCTGGTTGATCAGATCAACCAACATCGCGCGGGTTGGGGGAGGGCGGTGTTTGCTTCGGAGAGCGATCCAATGAACAGTTAGCTGAGGATACTCTTTTGCAGGTCAACATGGAACATCCACGGAGTCAAACAAAAACACGTCGACACGCATCAGAGACCTTCACATTCCCAAGTCTTCGGCGGCGTTGAAAGTGGAAGAGGTGTGAAGTCAGTAGCTCTTCGGGGAAAGCCCCGCTTCAGCAAAAATCCCAACTTCCCAAGTGCTCAACTTCGCATTGTGGAGGTCATTATTTTGACGGGTTCTGGGAGTCAAAGTCAGAAAATGAGGTTTCCCTTCACCCACCACTTGGGGGGTGACTTTGATCATGGAAAAATGTAGTGAGGCCAGTTTTGGAGGGGGTCAAACATGCGCGGTGTTGCGCGAAGTCACGGCTCCCAAGGGCAATGGTTCAAAATGTGTCCAATCAAGAAGCCTGGCAACGCTTCGAATCGGAAGGCTCGGATCGCGTCAGGTCTACACCTTCCATCGGAGTAACATCCACGAGCGACGGCCGGCCGCCACCTTTGCCGGGCAACCCGGGGGATTCGGGGAGGGGAGGGGCCCGAAGCCTTCGGGCGCGCCCGAAGCAGCTGCTAAGAGTCGAGTCCTATGAGCTATTTTTTATGGTTAACTTGGGGTTCTACCTTCGTTGTGCCTAGCTTTAGTTTTACTGGTTTCATAGCAACGTTTTGATTGGGGTTATGCTTGGGGCGTTTATTGCATGGGGATGCCTTAAAGTGTATAAACACCCCTCCACCCCCCGTTCCATCATATTTTCACAAAAAATGACAAACAACAGCAATACACGACTCAACACACGTTTTCTTTTTGACAAGGACATGGAAGGTGTGTCTTTCAGGAAACACGTGTCCCCCCTGAGAAACCAACGAGCACCCCTGTGCTCCCAAGAAACCCGGAAACGCGCGTGTGTGTGTGTGTGTGTGTGGGTGGGTGTGGGTGTGTGTGTGTGTGTGTGTGTGCGATCCACGAAGGGGATCTCCTTCTAGCATGTTAATATGAGAGTTGCTGGTAATGACTGCTTCCGCATTTTGGTATCTTTCACTATATCTTAAGTCCAAAGGCAACTTTTCTTATATCATCCCATATTTGACGCAATCTGTTGTTTTAGTTGTTTCCACACATCTACTCATGCATAGCTTACTGCCACTGGCATATAAACCAATTATCATAGTTATATGCTCGTTGCAATCCCTGAGCATTTGTTTACTGAGTCACAGCTCCAACAAATACAACATGCTGCATTTCCGTACCCTCTGCCAGATCCTTGACATCTCCCTCTGACGAAGAGTGTTCAAAAGACTACATTTCACAATAGGCCCATGCACGCCTTCCCACCGGCTCAAATGGGCCATTCTTCGGACGTTGCTTGAGCACCAGGTCCTTGTTCTGAACGTCTTGAGACGTGCTTCAGAAGAGGATGCAGATGCAGAGGGTGTTTTTTCCCACGGTCCAGTACTGAGTTGCTGAGTTGTCTCAGCCCTTCAGAGGCAACCCCACGTCAATCTCCATAATATGAGCCACAATCAAAACCTGGTACCCAGATGGAGGTTAGTAAGGGACAAGCCCAACCATAAATGGGTGCAGAATTCCGCCTTCTTAATTCTTGAAGCATGGTTCTCTGGGTCGACCATTTTAGTACCGGGTTTTGATTGTGACTCATATGCCCCCCCCCTCAGTGCCAATGCCCATCACTCCTCTTTGGAGATCACTCCACGCTCGCACGACAGATGACGTTGGTTTAATGCTGGTGCACTGGGAGACTGACCAAATGCTGTGTGCCGCTTGTTTGTTGCCGTTTTTGGTACGGTGGCATGCTCGGCATTGCGCAAGTCTGGCGGATTGCACGAACAAATCGTTCCGTTTCCACTGGGCAGAGGAGTTTCCATAGAGCCCTATGGAAGCAGCGCAGACGAAACCCCGCTCTCGCTGATGGGCATGTGGAGTAGGAAAATCTGGGAACCTCTTGCTTTGGTTGAGAGCCAAAAGGAAACCGGAGGAAAACCAACCTTTTTGTTGGAGTCCTGGAGTTTCTGGAACAGTTCAAATTCAGAAGGTCTTGGTTTGTCAGCGGATCAAAGTGGCAACTCGACCTAGGTGCCGTTTGCCTATTTCTACCAGCAGAGCCGGCGAAGCCGGTAGGAGGAAGTTTCAATCATGTAAGAACTATAACTATTTCTGTCCCATTCTCTTTCTCTGTTTTTGCTCTTTGTCTTTCTCGTTCTCTGTTTTGTCTCTTTCTCTTTCTTTTTCTCCGTCTCTTTCTCTTCTCTGTCTCTTGATCGTTCTCTGTTTTGTCTCTTTCTCTGTCTTTCCTTTTTCTCTTCTCTTTCTCGTATTTATCTTTCTCTTTTGCTCTCTCTTCTCCTTCCATAAGGCACTGCAATGTTCCTTCCTGATTTGTTTCAGCTTTCCTCTTCGTAAACTCTTTTCAAGATTCAACGTTTGCCCAAAGATATGTGCATTTCCCCTTGCAGCTATCTCATGGACTCAGTTTCCCAATGGCACCCCTTTTTCCCTTTTGGAGATGTGGTTGTTGGTCAAAAGCAGGGTGACCCCAAGCTGCCCTGGTAAACAGAAATATGAACTAGAATCTGCGGTTGTTCAATAGTTTGATTTTGACCCATATGAAAAATGGGGTCATGCCCAAAATTTAGGGGTCATGGACCCATTTTTGAAAGGGTCATGGAGAGACTAGGCATGTGTTTCCCTTTCACCTCCGGCAACAACCCACATGACCGCAAGGCCCGGCTAGTCCCGCTCTTCAGCTTCCTCCTGGTGAGCCGATTGATTCGCGAATCGAAGGGGGGCGACGCTTCTGCGGCGGCTTTTTTGTTGTCCACGCTTGGGCTTTTGGAGTTTACATCTTCGAAGATCGTTTCGGTTTAAAGGCGATCCACCGAAAAGTTTGAGTTTAGGACCTAAGGAATCTGCAAAGTGCATATACTGAGATCCATGGGTAGTATTTCTGTCTTGTGGCTTCTTCAAGGAACCAAAGGGAAAAACACACTCATTGAGGTGTGCAAAGGAAAGCCACACGGACAGCCAATATATCTTTGATTTGGTAAAGTATGTCAATGAAAGCAGCAAGTGACTCCCGTTTACTTGGGATTGGTAGGGATGGTCATCAACCTTGAAGCAACTTCCTGCAAAGGTTGCTCAGGGCCATTGCCCTTTCGGGAGCTTCATTTTCCCCCAGCACACCAAAGGTGGGATTCATTTCCTTACAGACCGGTCCAAAGGCAGAAACTTGTGCAAGGCCCCGAGCTGGAGGTGTTGTTCAAGGGAACCAAAAGGATAGCCGAAATCCGTTTTGGGGGGTCTCCCTAGTTTGACACATACCCACCTTGAGAGTAGCATTCTTGCTTTTGTGCTGTTGCGTTGGAACTGAAATGGTCAAGGCTGGCAAGCGTGCTATCAAGCTTTCTGCTCAAACTGCCGACGCTTTGTGCCCCTGGTGCACTTGGAGAATCAGCCGTAGTTGCTCATTCTGCGTAGGCTCATTCGAGTGGTAAGGTGGCATTGTTGCTTTTTGTTTTGATGGTACTGATGGTGCGGCTGCTGCTGCTGCTGCTGCGGCTGCTGCGGCTGTTGCTGCTGGCTGCTGCCGGCTGCTGCCGGCTGCTGCTGCTGCTGCTGCTGCTGCTGCTGCTGCTGCTGCTGCTGCTGCTGCTGAGTTGTTTGCTCTTTTTGCGTGTTCCTTCTGTTGGGTGTACACAGGCTGCGTTTGTAACGCGCGACATGGTGGCGCTGTAAGAAACTGGCACGCTTGCTCGAAATGCGCACCCGCTGGTGAAATCTGCATCCAAACGACACCCAGTGATTGCACACGCTTCAAATCCAAGCGCCTTACAGTAGGTTCAAAGCCCACCCGCAAAGTCTTCCTCCAAACTAAGGCTTAGATCCATAATATGTGCCATGGTGCATGTGGGTGTGGCTCAAACAATGGTGCCCGCAATAGCACCTTGGCAAATGGAAACAAAGACAAGACACTTGCGTAATGCTAGGTCTTTCATTTTGAGCGTGCCACCCGTTTGCCTTTCACCTGGTAGACGGTCATTGCTTTGGTGCATTTTGCCAAGGGATGTTAGGACTTTAGTTTTTTTTTGCCAACTAATGGGTTTTCCGTATTAAACCGCTAAAAGTTATTCACTTTTAGCAGGGCTTCGCAGAAAGCAACCAAGATGGATTGGTACCTAGAGTCTCCATGACCCTTAAAAAATGGGTCCATGCCCCCAAAATTTTGGGTACTGACCCCATTCTCTAAGGGTCATGGAGACTCCAGGTGGGTATGGGTCAAAATCAATGTTTACCAGGGCAGCTTGGGGTCACCCTACTTTTGACCAACAACCACATCTCCAAAAAGGGAAAAAAGGGTGCCATTGGACCCACGGGCAATAGACACCGCCAGGTCGTCGCTGTGGCGGCCATTGGCTTCGCGCTTTGCGACCGGCTCTTGCAGCTCGGCTTGTCGTGAGTGCGTTTTTGAGGTTTGCCGACATCAAACCTCCATTTGCTTAAGATGTTTTTATTTGTTCAATAAACCCTCTTGGTTTTAAAGGGAATCTATCACTACTGGAAGTATTTGTATTTTTCCAGGGGGCTGCAGCAAATGGAAGCAAAGATAGTCCCCCCCCCCCGGCCTACCAAACAGAATCATATGAGTACCAATCTTGCGGCCAAACTTCTATCAGCCCCCAGCTCTCATGGGGATGTACGACGGGAAGATTACCATGCTCTTGAAACGGCACCTTATGCCATTGGTTGCCCTTTTTTCGGCATCGTTGATTGGAGTTCACCAACATTTTGGGACGCTGCCTTCCACGCCTCCTCCCACACCAAAAGAAGCGGCCCTCCAACGCTCGATCCAAACGTGCTTCCCTCAGCCTGTGCCAAACAACCCGCAGTGTGTATTAAATTCCTTCCCCCCGTTTCGGAAAGCTGGGGCAAATTGGGATTTGCTTCGGTACAACCGGCTTCTTGATTTTGTGCTGATCTTTTCTGTCAAGGCGTTGTTTGGACATTGAATAGTACACGGAGAGAAACAATTCTGTTCCAGAGAAAGCACACCTTCAGCGCACCTCGTTTCCCCATTCCCCAGGACGCATTGGATACATGACAACTCTGGGGCCGTCTCAACAGTGGAAATGCTTGAGGTGTGAAACTCGAACTTGTCAACCCAACAAGTAGCTTGGGAGCGCTGCTCTTGGTTTCACCTTGTAGCTTTTAGTACAAAACTAGGTCCCCCAGTAGTGCCCTTTTACCCTTTTTTTTTGGGGAGGGTTCCCCTACTAAAATAGACTACAGCAAAACCTCTCTACTGGAGGACCAAGAAAAAGTGGTCTTCCACTAAACGACGCTTTTCTGCGGGCCGCTTCGGCCCATGGCTCGCCAGCCATTCGGGATGAGGCTCGCCCTGTGCGCCCGGGACTTGGCTTTTTCGCTTTTTCGCTGTCGGTCCGAGGCTTCCCCGGCGACCACTTCTTTCTGTGGGTTCTCACTTTGGGTGGTTGGTTTATCTTGGTGGCTCGCAGCCATCCAGTTCCTTATGTGTTTTGGTTTAGTGGTGTCCGAATTTAACCCACAAGTTAAACACTTGCAGGGGATCTAGGACAGCCCAGTTTTTGGGAATCCAAAGGGAAGCCGTTGCCGTTTGCTGGGGTCCTCCTTGAGGAAAACCCATGTGCTTGACGTGTTTTTTAAAGTTTCTTATACCCCTTGACACCGCTCCGATTGTGGCGGGTGGGAGGTGGGAAACGTTCCGAAGCCGTCTGGCGTGTGTCAGCCTTTGTCCCAGGTCAACGTTTGGTAACATCGCGCATTGCTGGCTTTCTAAGCCTCGGTTGAGCGTTGACCAAGGTACCTGACCCTTTGCTTAACGAACATGGAGCCGGAGAGTCCAGCCATTAGGAGATCCCCATGTCTCAAGCAAGGTTGAACAGCTGGATGGCATCCAGGTACAAGGGCCGGAGAAAAAAAAAAAAAAACATGAATTTTCGCTGGTCATGACTTAAGATGTGTTATACCCCAACCCCTGGATGTACCTGGATGCCATCCAGCTGTTCAACCTTGCTTGAGACATGGGGATCTCCTAATGGCTGACTCTCCGGCTCCATGTTCGTTATGCAAAGGGTCAAGGGGTACCTTGGTCAACGCTCAACCGAGGCTTAGAAAGCCAGCAATGCGCGATGTGGCTTTGATGTGGGGAAGCTTGTGGAAAGCCAAACACACCGTGGGCAATATGTCAGTGTTCCTCCCGCACATGCAAGTCCATAGCCGCTTTTCAATTGAAAATCCCAATGAAACGCGTGGCCACTACTCAATGTTAACACCGTATATAAATAGTAATACTACTAATAACAATAATAACACACATACACAAAAACTGGTTGAGTAACAAGGGGTGTCCCCGATTAGTACGACTGGTGTGTTAATCCGGGGTTCCCATACAACTTACAACGGTCCCCAAATCGAACACTGTCGACACGTGTGGTCAGCATAGACGCAGGGAGGCATTTAGATAGCCCTAGGAGTTTCCGTGTGTAACCCAACCTTGAGCCACAGGAGTCTTGACCATGGTGTTCTTTTTCTTTGCACGTTGCGACAACTCCATATTTCCAAGATATTTTTCCGGGAGAGCCACATGTTGGAAGACGATCAAGGGCTTATCCAGCTTTCAATGCTCAGGGAGCCTTTGCCGACATTTCAAAGTTCAGGCTGTGTCTTTGCACAGGTGGAAGTAGATGGCGCAATTCCCTAAGTGAAGGAGATTACTGAACCAACAGGCGGACGGGGGGGAATTGTGCTATCTACTTTCACCCAATTGGGTCTGTCTTGTTGTCGGGGCCCCCAAACTGGCGGTTTTCCTTTTGACTTCCCTTTAAAAAGCCGCAAAAGAGGGTACCCTCCCACCAGCTATCATGGAAGCGCACAGACCCCTGTAGAAAGACTACTTTCCTCTTCCATGTTAGTTGGCGGGAGGGTATTATCCATCAAAATCACGCCCAATGGTAGCTTGACGCCTTGAGGCGATCCTGAACACCAGCCTCTGCCCGGGACCAAGAACCCGAAAACAACCTGCGGGACGCGCCGGACGGGATCGTACAGACTTCGGAGCCCCGAACGGCTCCAACTCAACCCCCCCAACTTGAGAGTGCTTGGTTTCAAGTCGCCTTGTGGGGTAGGTTATTGTGGCAAGCTCCAGGGGAAAGCCAATCATTTTCACGGTGATTTTGAGACGAGCACTGCACTTTTTGGTGCGTGTTTCCTTAGCAACTAGCCACGATGTCCCAGCCTTTGCGCCAGCCAAGATCAGGGCCGCTCAAGGGTCTTGCCCACCAAAGGGCAACCCATACCATCTTCGCCCATTGCAGCCCCCCCCCCCATTTTCCGACATTTTCCGACCCTTCACTTGTTTTAAAGCCCAAGCACCCCAAACTCGCGCCCTTGCTCGACCCAATCCCTACCTGCGCGACCTCCCTCCCTCCTCCAACTTGAAGATTCGACTTCGAGGCTTCCGCTGCCTCCCTCTTCCTTCGCCCCTCTTCCGCTTCCCACGCCTGCGCGCGCCTTCGCGGCGCTCGCGCGGAGGCCCCGAGGCTTCCAGCGACCCGAGGCCTGGGCATGAGCTACAGCGGGGTCCTGTGCCTCCTGGGCGTGCGGAAGGTGGCGGAGGAGCTGCGCCGCGAGGCCGCGGAGCTGCCGCAGGCGGGGAATTGGTTGCGTGTGGGTCAGGGCGCCGGGGGGGGGGGGGGAAGGAGGGGAGGGGGAGTAGACCCCGAGTTCCCGGACTTAAATCGCTTTCTGGGAAGATCGGTTTAATGGCAGAATTAAAAGTTGAGAAGTGAGAACAGGTCGTTTTGTTGTTGTTTTTTGGCAAGATATGGTTGGCGTGGTTTGGCGATTTCAACAATAACACGTGTTTTTTGTTTGCTAAGTCCGACTTGGTGGATTGAACAACTTGTTGAAATACCATCTGAGTGGTAAGCAGAAAGTGTGGACGGTTTTGGGTTAATGAGGAGGGGTGGTGGATCGAAGTGGGGGAGAGGGATTGGGGGGGGAGGAAGGTTGCAATAAGGGGGGAGGGGGGTTGGGGAAATTGGGGCGTGATTGTTGACTCGTTGACCTTTAACCTTCAATGTTTGCCGGCTAGCTGCTGCAGATTCATTAAGGAACCCTTGGGTGGGAAAGGGTTGGCTTTTATATTGCTGGGCGATTAAAGCAGGGGGATAATGGAGGGGGTTGGGTTTGGTACACTGAATCTCAAAGGGTTCATTAGGGAAGACTGCAAGGTCCAAAGAGTTAGCCGAGTGATTAGTAACTCACATTTAGTCGCCAAGTAGCCTTGTAAACCTTTGGAACTAGGACCGGACGTTGAAACAGAGAAGCTTAGCATTCAAGGCCTAGATCTTACATATCCGAATTCAGTTGTTCAGTGGTTTGATTTTAGGCTTTATACATTTGTTCTTCAGGCGCGAATCTGCTAGAACTGTAGATTGGCATTTGCATCTATCGTATTTGCTTTGTCGGACATCTCGGTTTTAGGGCCGGACACTGCGTGATAGCAAAACAACCCCCTCCCTGTTAAGTGATCAAGTCGGAGATGGAAACGCGAGCCTCGGGCTTGCCTAGACCCTAACGCCAGGAAGATGGCATCCAGCATGTCATCATCATCGCCAACTACAAGGAGGCCCTATTTGAGTCCTATCGGACTACCTGAGGCCATATTTGTGGTCAAAAGACCGGTTCCTACACTTGGGGCTAACAGATGATCATCCACCTGGTATGGATCCGACCAGGAAGGAACCATGATCATGGGCCATAAAAGGAGTCTTGGGTATGGCTCATACGGGTTTGTGTTTTTGGGGGGTGCACTTTCTGGGGTTGAAAGGAATGAGACGCACCCATACGGGTACATTTGAAGAAAGGGGTTTGACCCCTCGAAAACAAAGACAAGTGGTGTTCCCGTCAACCTGAAAAGGCTGCCCTGAGAAGAATACTCTCATATTCCTCCCGTCCACCTGTTTGGCAGATGTCAAATTAGGTGTCCCCATTTGGTGGACATGTTCAATTAACTCTGTCTATGGATAAAAATGTAAACGGTTCTCCGCGAGTGATTCTGGTTTCCTCGAGGGCTAAACTTGTCAACCCAAGGGTTGGGTGGGGAGTGGGGCCAGCAAAATCAGCTGGCCACGCCGGCTACGTAGTTAAATGGGTGGGAACGGGCATGTGCTGGATTCAGGATGCACAAATGGTTTTCATTTTGGGCTCCCTTCTTAAACCCATTCATTTGCTTGGATACGTAGTGGGGTTCCCAGAGATCCATGGGTCTTTTGTGTGGTGTGCGTGTGTTTGTGTGTGTGTGTGTCCGCTTGTTTGGAGGGCAAGCTGCCACAGTCGGGCAGAAGAAAAAAGCAATGCAACGCTTCTGGGGCCTCGCTGAGCTCACGCAGTTCACTGAATTTCGGCTCCAGCCTAAAAGTCGCCGGGGCGTGTTGGTCGGCAAAGTAGTCGGCTGCAAAGTTGATCTCCAACCGACAGCATACAGAATCGAGGGCAGCGAAAACTAAACACACACACAAACACACAGGGCAATTGCTTAGCAGACAAGTTCACACCCCTATTTGACGGGCAGCAATAGGTTTAAGTGGGGGAGTTCCCTTGAAGTTGAGGCAACACAAATGGGTAACTGCTTTTTCTCGTGGGGTTTGCCCCCCGGCAACAAAGTCGAACATGTCCAAGCCTGCTTCTTGGATCCATTGTATCCTGTTAGGCACACGCTGATCTTGAAGCACGGTGTACTAATCCCAAGACGGCTCCGGAACTACCGACAATTTTAAAGAAGCCTGACCTCTTTGGTTGAATGTCACTTTTGGCAAGTGGTCGCGTCATCCATCACGTTATTCTCCTTCGGACAACTGGACCACGCTTTCGCGAAATCTCTTGCGGAAATTCCAACCTGAAAGCTTCAGGATTCATCCAATCTGAGGGCTGCGTGAAAAGGCCGGGTTGACGGCTGCATCTTGACTGCTATTGGGTTGGATCTTCAGACTTTAACTTTTTGGGAAATCAAGCAGTTTTAAAAGTTAAACTTTTTGCGTGGGGGTCAACAGCAACCAAGGCATTTGAGGCCCGCTCGGCCCCCCAAGCCCTACGCCCACGAGGGCAAAACTTTTGCCACGAGGACTCGCGCGCAAAACTCGCGCGAGTCACTGAGTCACTGGCCATGTGGCACTCGCCTGGGCGATGACGCAGTTTCCCCACCAGAAGCCTAGGCTCGGGTTTTGGGTTTCGGGTCCCGATTTGAAGACCTGGGTGACACATGACGACACGACCGAATTCACCCCCAAATGGTAGTTTATGTGGGGAATGGCCCCCACCCGGTATTCAATTGTCCTAAGGTTAGAATTGTCCCTTACTGACCGTTACCTGTTCGAATCGGTTTTGAGTGTGGCTCACATGTTGGAAGCTCACAAGTCCTCGAGACCTTAGCAGTAATCTGCAACGCCAAAAGCAATCGGCGAAAGGAATCAGCAACCTGAGAAAAATACTCTTGAGTTAAGGGTTGCCAAAAGGGGGGGGTACTGGTCTTTACCAACCTCCATCTAGCTCAACGTACCAAAGGCATTGCAAGCCGGCTTTGGCGGGGACCCCGCCGCACAATCGAAGTCACAAGTGGAAGGCAAGCACGAGAAAGGAGGTTGAACAAAGCTCCAAGTGTGTGTGTGTGTGTGCCTTTTGGGATGGAGTGACCCCTGAAAAACGCCGAGTACCCCAAACAAACAGTTGCTCTTCTTCGCCAGGCTACGGGGTTTTCGGGTCTTGGCCAATACTTTGTGACAGGTTGGTTTGGAGGAGGTCTGACTGCCGACTTTACTTCTTTCTTAACCGATGTTTATGTTCCAAAAGGTAGGTTTAGCCTACCCCTCAGAACCTTGGCAACTAGGGCAGCTTCCATTTTTCCGATCAGGGACGGGCACATCGCGAAGCCGCTTAGGCCGTTCCAAAGATGGCCAACACACACGGGTAGAAACTGGGATCTCAAACATGTGCTCTCGAGCTGCCCCCGTAGGTTCAGTCCGTTGGTGGCAGTGCCAATAACTTGCTTGATTTGCCTTTTGAACCTTGCTGCTTTCATTGCAAACATGCTGCTTGCATTGGTCATGTGATGGGAACATCAGGGTCTAATGGGTTTTCTGGGCGGGAATTACGCCCTCGGACCCACGATAACCAGCCTGTACACTGGTCACGGGTTGGGCAAGGCGTCTTGCAACTGCAAACGCAAACAAACCTTGTCTTCACTGGTCTTGGATTTTAGTTGTTTGGCTCTGCTGATTTTTGCTGGGCTCCAAAAAAGCAGTTTGTTGCAGCCCAGACCAAGAGTTGAGTTGTTTGATGGCCTACATGTATTGAAATCTTCGCCGGCTAGGGCACCGGATTTCGTGTTTCTTTAAACCAATACCCTACCACACACACACACACAAGTTGTACTCCCGTCTCAAGAGTTTAGCGCTCCAAAAGGAGAGAGGGCTTTTGAGTTCCTTCCCCAAATATCTCCGTTGAGTAAATGCGTCTCCAAGCTCTCCTGGTCTCCTGGCCCTTGGGGCGGCTCGCGACCGGTAGCTCGTCGCGAGGCTCTCGCTGCTGGGCTTGGCGGCCATCATCTACTACTCGGTCTCTGGGGGGCCCTATGGCGTCGAGGAGCTCCCCCCTTTGGGCTCAATGTGGCTGGGGGCAAAATGGACCAAAAGACCAAGATGTTAGGGGGTTTGGGGGGGCCAGCTTTATGAGTGTTGACAGATGAAGCCCCCCAACACACGATCCACCTTCGACATTGGCGACCCGCCATATCAATTGTGTTCAATTTGGGCTAGAGTTGCTGGGGCCAATTGGTGATGTTTGTTTGGTTTAGCAGTGCTGGAGTTCGATTTGTGGGATTTGATTTGCCATTTGGTACACTGATGGATGTGATTTTCTAAGTTGTATGTCCAATGTTTGGCGGAGGGAGCTACAAGAAAACAAGATATAGGAGGTCCCTAAGTACTAATTTCTGCCTTCCTCAAAATTGGGGATTCTCCGGGCTGGTGGTTGGGTCTGATCGCCTTCGATACACCGCGGCGTGTGGACTGGGAGGTACATTCAAGCGCAAAGCGCAATGAAATGGTTCCTGATAAAAAAAAAAAAAAAAAAAAAAAAAGTGGCCATTACTTTGTGCATGTTGGCGCGGCTGACTTACTGCGTGGTCATCCGTGATCTGAGCAGGGTGGGGTGGGGTGTGGTGGGGTGCGGTGGGGTGCGGTGGGTGGGGTGGGTGGGGTGGGTGGGGTGGGTGGGGTGGGTGGGGTGGGTGGGGTGGGTGGTGGGGTGGGTGGGGGTGGGGTGGGGTGGGGTGGAGTGGGTGGGGTCAGAGTAGCGGATGTTGGTTTGGGGTGGCAGTGGCGCCCTCCTCGAAGCAATTTCTCTGGCCTTGGCTAGAACCAAAAGTCTGAAGTTGGGTGCTTCTCAAAAGAGTTGGTCTCCTTTTGGGAGAGTTTGAAGATGAACTTGCAAAGCCATCCGCCTGCTTTTTTTGGTGGTGTTTGAGAAGCCCAAGATTTTCACCACTGCGCCTCAAGGTGCCATGTCTACCCGGCAGGATTCCGTTTGCGCGTGGGTGGGGTGAGGCGGGTGGCGTGGTGAGGGGGGGGGTGGGGTGGCTGGGGGTGGGGTGGGGGTGGGGTGGGGCGGGCAGCGAGTATCCCGCCAGAGCAGTATCCCAGAGCAGCCCGTCAGTGGATCCCGCCGAGTCCCGCCAGAGCAGCTCGCCAGTGGATCCCGTCGAGTATCCCACCAGAGCAGCCCGCCAGTGGACACAGCCAAGTATCCCGCTGAGTATCCCAGAGTAGCTGGGATTGGATCCCCGCCGAGCATCCCGCTGAGTATCCTAGAGTAGCTCGCCCGTGGACCCCGCCGAGTACAACATGCCAGTGCCGGCTGCAGAATGAACTACACCGTCAAGAAAGGCTCCACTTTGCGCCTGCTTCTGCCCTTGCACGGCGGGATGCAGGCGGGCAGCCACGCGTGTGTGCAATGTTGCACTATGATTGCGCAATGTACAGGGCTGTGCTGTAACATGCGCATAATCTGGCACCTTGGACATAGACGGCGCCCACTGGCACCTGACGGTCGATGCCAGCGCCACCTTCTTACGCATATTCACCGCAATCAAGCTCTGCAGCTTGAATTCTCAACTGAAGGGGGTCTTTGCATGGCTTTCTGCATGGGGCTTTGAATTCAGGTTGCCAAGGTCACAGCAAAGCCTGCGGGACAGCCGAAATGATAAGACTCGATGGTTCACTGCCTTCCCTTTACAAGGGAAGTCAGACTGGCCGGGCTGGCAGCCTTGATCAAATATGGCAAGACTGTTGCTCAGATGAAGGGGTATGAATGGGTATGGAGACCACAACAATGGGGATGGTGGTTGGAAGGTACTGGACAGGGGCAAGCTCAGATGTGAGCTGAGGTAGCCCCAGCCGCACCTTGTTAGTACGTTAGATGAAGAGCGTCCACATAGTGCGCACGAAGGGTAAAAAGCGACAGATAAATGCACATCCTATGCGGTTACCATCTCTCAAGTGGATACAGACACGGTGAAACACTGCGGTTCTGACTTTGGCTAGGGCATGATGAACCGAGGCAGGTCATTTTCAA